TTTTCTTCCTCCCATCATTTTCATCCTCACTACCAGACTCACTAGTCTGATACCATGTTCGCACTCCCTTCCTTGGTCGTCCTTCCTTGGAACCTACCTGCTCTATCCTCGAGCAGGGCGTTTCCCGTATCAATCCCGTGCTGAAATTCCGTCCTTGCACCTCTTTCCTGGGTGCTCCTTGATTAGATAGGTGCGCAAATCCTTCCTCTCGACTGGTTGCATCATCAACTCCCTGATTAGGTAGATGCGCCAGTCCTTCCCTCGACTGGTCGCATCATCAACTTCTTGATTAGATAGATGCGCCAGTCCTTTCCCTCGACTGGTCGCATCATCACTAATCTCATTCAACCGTTTTCCTCGGGTCATTCATCCTTGCTCTTATCCTTGAGCAATTTTATCATCCATAATGGCTCCGCTTATCTGAAACTTACAGGTATAAGCTTAGAACTTGTCCAGATATTTTCTTTTAAAGGATGTAGCAATTTATTTCTATAATTAGAACCTGACTTTCATTTTAAAAGTTGCAAATTAAATAGTTAAGCTGTGTAGGTTATTTTTTTGTCATTATATTTATTATTGGTACAGATTCATCATACAATAGTTATAATAGCAATAGTTATAACATTGGTAAATTTATTTCGTTTTCATAATGTCGTGTATTATCAAAAGAAACAGAGTTTCATTATCAGTATTAAGTTTTTAATTTCTCAACGTATACGAAAAAAACACGGCAGAATAAATAAATAAAAAAACTAATCATATAAATGGTCTAATTCATTATTCATCAAACTTTAAAATCAATAATTACAGTTATACTTAGTAGGAAAATATGCGAAATATCATTTATTTACACGAAAAAATACTTACATTATTCGAGCGGTGCACGTGGCAAGATAATTAAATTTATGTATCTTGTTTATCCGCCTTTTGATCTGTTGTACTATTTCAAGATCAGGTAGAAAATATAAGGGTTGATTCCAACTATTATACTTTATTTCACTTGCTACAATACTATCTCGAGTCCAGGTAGAAAACAAAACGGTAGATTCAAACTATTACACTTGGTTCACTCTACAATTTAAACTTATACACAATTCAACTTCACTACACGTCTTACTGCAACGACTCGCGTTGAGCTAATGCCACCATAGATTACTATGTACTAGAGAAATATATTACTCTATCTATTATCCGTAATCATTAATGTTAAGAACTAAAAGTAAATATAATATAAAGTTAAATCGAGTAATTCTGTTATAAAAAATAATATAATAGTTATTAACATAACATTAATCTAACAATAATAGTTACACAATAATAGTAACTGAACACAAGTTTAAGATACTGTGGTGTTAAAAAAAGATACTACTAAAAGATACTTCCTTGATATATGATATGATATGGCTTGAAAAATAGTGCAATGAATGAATATTAAAAAACAATAAAACATAAAACAACTTTCAATAAAACTAAAAAGTTATAACTACTTCATTACTGAATGACCTAATTTTTAAAGATTTTTTGAAGATAGTACTGTTGTCAACAGTTTTTAATTTAATTAAATTGGAGAGGTGGAACCAACAGCAAGAAAACAGGTTTACAAGTTAATAATTGTTGCGTACTTTAATAATTTATATTGTTGTAACTAACACTGTGGATAATTAATTATTTTCATACTATAATTTTCGGGGTACTTTAATGTATAAAATAAATATAATATTAAGGCAAAAATAAATATAATATTAAGGCAAAAATAAATAACTAGACATAATCTAAAATTATGTCTAGTTATTTATTTTTGCTCATATTTATAACTTAAATATAAAACTGTTTAAGATAATTATAAGAAATATAAATAACGTTTTGTAATGTAAAAGCTTAATATCCAATTATATTAAAAACTTGTAACGGAAACCACACAAACAATGCCATCTGTAGTTTAGCATTGTTAAATTACAAGCCTATAAAAGACAGATGTCGCATTGAGCGGCAGCTACGAGCGGCAACTACGAGTGGCAGTCTTACTTAACCTGTTGAGTAGAGAATACGTACACGAAAGATAAATTGTGAGTAATAATAATAATACCATTAAAAACATAACTTGTAAAAAAAAACAAGTCTCGCAACTCAGTTCTTCTACCGTAAAAAGTTGTGAGATCCATGTGATACCAAGTCGGTTAATTTATTCAGTTCCTACTTAAGGGTCCTTCTGTTTTAAGTTATTAATATTTTAAATATATAGATTGACTTGGCCATCGCATGAAACCACAATGTATCTCATAAGTAATACGTATTATATTAAATTAGATTGCTTAGTGCGATTGCCAAGTCAATCTATATATTTAAAACATAAAAGACTTTTAAAATTGATATGATCACTATAAAACGTTGTTAGGTTAGCTGATTACGTAATAACTACCGACCGAATCCAGAAATTCCGTAACGAAAAAAAACCTCACGCTCCCCACTCCGACGGGCACGGAGGTGTGGCGTTGAAAGCCGGGCATCGTTTAACGTCGTTTCAGTTCGGCAGACCGAAACTCGGCAGACTTCGGCACGGTGTTTGTGTGCGTGCGACTAGACGTATGCGTGTACAGTAGCTGCTAACTCAATGATAAAAATTCCTGAATAACCTACATGTATTGTAAGATATTAAAAATATTTTAAACAATATTAACTTCTCATTTATTCAATAAGAGAAAAAATTGTGTTCTTATCGGTCACCACGCTCAAAAATTGTAACTCGATTTAATATCAAAGAATTAAGTGCATAAATAAAATAAATAAATAATTATAATTGCATAAGTTGATAAAAAATGCTATGCAATAGCTTTACCGCGGCAGTCACCGAGTGCCATACGTATTTTTTGTATATAAGATAGTCCTAATTTTTTACCTTTCCGGTACCTTCTACTTCTTGAGTACCAACAACGTACCTATATACAACTGTAATACATTTACAAATACACTGATTCATTCACTGCAAATTTAACTTTGTAATTCTATATATTTATATGGGGTTACAAAGTTATTTATGCAGTGAGTGTATCTTAAAAACTGGACGGAAATTAACAAATGATTTAGTTTTTCCTTGATTTATGTACTAAACACTAATTGTATTCTAAATTTGAAGCTTCTATGTCTGCTAGAAGTGCCTTAGAGTTTTGATGATCGGTCAGTCAGTGAGTGACAAAATTAAGAAACTTTGACTGGTTACAATTCTAAACTACTCGTTCAAATTGAATGAAATTTGAAATATACTATGTTTATACAATGGTTACTTGGTTACTGAAAATTCAAGCCTCTAGTTTTATTGATCACGAAGTTATAAGGGGTCGAAAATGGCCTGAATTGCTTCGAGAAAAGATGGTACGGCCGTGCCGCTTTTTTGCTCGACTTGGCGGGGGCACTGCCGTGCCCCCAGATTATTGTTATACCTTGTTATTCTGTGTGTCTAAATCTACATTGTTATTATTATGAATATTTATAACCTTGTTTAGATTTGTGATAATTTATGCAGTTAATAAAATACAAGATATTACTAACGTAGTAGGAGACATTAATTAGCATATATATAGATAGCGTTTTTGCAGATATCATATAACTTTGCTTTACCCTTCGAAAGTATAGGGTAGACTGGGTACGGTTGAAACGGGGGACGATTGAAACAAAACATATATCTGTACACCGTGCGTTCAGGTTCAGGGAGGGAGTTCACCGAGGTTCAGGGGTATAAGGAAAGAAAGAGCGGGTGCGGGTCGAAACACGAATTTAAGTGTTGCGGCGTTCTTCGCGCGCTGTGTTTATGTATAGAAGGCCTCATTGTATTTTTTGACGGAAAAGTAAGTTTCTTTCGTTCATAAGTTTTTGCAATTATTATGGTTTTATTAAAAATAGAATATTGAATGTTTTGTGTTGTTTAAATTGAAGTTAGTGGAATATGGCTGTATGATTAGTTTTTATTCAAATTTGTTGTCATTCTTAGTATGAACCATTTTCTACCAAGAATGGGGTTGGGGACAGTTGTAACGTTTTTTGTGGGTACAGTTGAAACAGTATATTTATTTAATTTTCTTGTTTCTTAGATGCGAAGGGTACGCCAAAGGAACTACGAAAGGTCAGGCCGACTTATCAAAGTATAAACAAGCCTATGAAGATGTAAAAGCCGAGTCATCGTTAGGTAAAACGGCAGAAAAGAATGGACTGAACAACTGTTCACTGTGTAAACGAGATGCGACTGGTGAAGATAAAAATAAAGAAATAGATTTTAAAGATCACAATCGAATGCTTGAGCAGGAACAAGAGCGTGAGCTATCTAAATATTTAATTAGATATGCAGACTTACATTTTGGCCTAACTAAAAATGATGTTATGAAATAAGCATACGAACCAACCATCAAGTACGACTTATCACGACCGGGCTTCGAATGTTTATGAGAAGAAGTCCGGAGCTGTCAGTGCGTGCAGCACAGACTGCATGGCTTGCTAGGACGACTAGCTCAAAAAGAAATAACGTAGAAGCTTTCTATGACAATTTGGCTACTATCATGGACCGTTATAAATTTGAATCCCAAAATATATATACAATGCTTGACTTGAATATTAATAAAAATATTTGTGATGTTCAACTGTGCCATTACGAGTCGTAAAATGTTATAAGACGATTAATAAAACATGTTCATTTATTATATTTTGTATTATTTGCATGTTTCAATTGACCCCAAGCACTGTTTCAACCGATCCTGGCATGGGGACGGTTGAAACAAAATACACTTTTTTTTAAATGTGATTTTACATATAAAATATAATACAGTGATCTCAAATGACATTGCCTAGTATTAAAAAGATATATGGTCTTTTATTTAATATATTTCGTTCATCGCTCGCTTAACTAATCCCGATGCAATTGACGATAAACGCTAAAATGTTTCTACCGTACCCAGTCTACCCTACCGGACGACTTGGTACCTCTAACAGCACATTTTAAGCAGTTGTTGGCAATGGCCACTCAGCAGCAACGACTTCTATTGTTTTTGGACTCCGTAGACCAGCTTACGGGGATTGGAACCGAAAATAATAAAGTTTCATGGCTTCCATCAAGGCTGCCTCCACATTGTAAGGTAAGATATGCAACAACTTCACAGCTATGACAAAGTAGTAGTGACTTCCGCATTGGTCTAAAGGTCGTAAATGTGACTGGGGTAATGTGGTACCAGGTTAGAATCCCGTGTTGGCCAAACAAATTTTATCAAGAAATTTTCAATAGCTGTCCGGAGTCAGGAAATTGGCTGTGTTTCACCCTCATGCCTCTGAAAGCATGTATAACTGTTGGAGCTGCGCCTGATCTCTCTCCAATCGTGTTAGTTTATCGTCCTATTGGACTATGAGAGTGAAGGTATAAAGAAGTTGCCTGTTCTTGCGCATAAATACTATATTCCTTTTCCGCGCCGATGGCTAGCCTCTGAATGAGCCCGAAATTAGGTCTTAAGGACATTGCATGAGCGTATCCATATAAACTTTATTACATATATATACATTATCTAATTACAAAATTACATCCTAAACTTTAGAGACGTATCCGATACCTCAGTTACATATGTATATATGAAACCAATGACATTATACTCGCGTAATTGAACCTTCGGACACGGGTCTTTCTACCTTCCGATGAGGTAAGGTCACGAGGACCGAGTATGTTAGTATGACGAAATCATGCTTCCTATTCTCAATGCCACTAAGGATGCTGCAGGGATGATACGGCAATAGTCAGACGTTGGGTTGAGAAGAGTGTAATTTAAGATAGCTAAGAGTGGACGTGGAAAATAATAATCGATAAATTGGGTTAATCAATGAAAAAAGGGAATCATGATGATTACAAAATTAATTTCTGATTTTAGATCATTGTCACTTGCACTTGCGAAGAATCAAATCCAGAAGTATCAAAAGAGTATGATGTACTTCGCCGTATGATAGACTCCGAGGAAAATTTTCTTGAAGTGAAATCATTAGGAGAAGATCTAGTCTCAATGCAAGTTCTAAAGTAAGTGCTTTGTAAAAAATAATGTCAAAATACAGCAATGCAAATTAATATACGTTTTGTTAATAATATGATAATAATAATAATGTTCTCCCGACCGAATTGCGTCTCAACGAAGACTAGGCATTTGCTAAGGACACGATTAAGTCAACTTTTACGATTAAGTCAGTCAACTTTGCGTGAGCAAGCATAGAAGCACTCTCTCATTCCTCACTCACACAGTCCGATAGGACGGCAATCCAACACGACCAGAATTAGTTTAGACGTTTAATGAGTTTAGTCACGAGACTGAAACACTGCTAATTTTATGGCTTCAGGGTGCTACTGAGAGTTACTTGACAGAGACACCCAACAACTTGTTTGGATTCGACTCTGGATTCGGACTACAGCAATTGACAATTGCACTTGCGATTATTAAATTATGGTACACTTAATGTTTCAGTCAATACTAATAATGCTAGTGTCGTACGAGCTAACAGTCTACATAGCGAGAAGTGGTTACAGGAATTAACCGATAACCGCAACAAATTAAAAAATGGACACGTGCGTTGTCAATAAAAAACAAAAAAAATAAAAATATACCCCAGCCATAAGGTTTATAGTCAGTTGCAAGTTTGAAGTACTGATTTACCAAGTGTTGGTTCTGAAGGAAAATAATATTTTGGGGATATTTTTGTTTCTTGAGACATAAAATAAAGATATGTTAACTCCGATAACGTACATTGGGGTAGTGCGGCGGATGAATTCTTGCCAAATTTCTTCTAAACGGCCAATAGCGAGCACATATAATGGATAACCTTTTTTCCCATCTGGAAAAGAATAGGGTGTAACATGTGAATGGAGTAGAAGACTATCGCACTATTATTTTATAAAAAATAAAAACAAGCATTTTTGGATTAAACGTAGAAGACAATTTTTTAAACAATGAATTTGCCCTTTGCCTTTGAGCCTGTGACGCTGCGAAGTGACAAGGTCAATGATGTCTACTAAGTGTGGTTTTACAGTGACGCTTTCGCCAGCGCGGGTGGTAAGCGCGGCCCGTAAACGCGCGGATGACCCGCTCGAAACTAAAAAACGAGTTTAGAGTCGCGCGGTTTTGTATACTGTTGGAATGCCGCCAGCGCGGGCCATCCGCGCGTGTCGGCTACACTATGTAACGATGCAAGAGACGCAACGCTCGTGGCCCGCGACGCTTATCAACCGCGCTGGCGAAAGCGTCACTGTAAAACCACACTAAATATATTGTTTTATTGCTGTAAGTAAAGTAGGGTGGATATGATTTGAATTTCAAAAGATTTTATTCGATTAATTAATTTAATTTAAAATGTTTGTTTTTATTTTTTGTTAAATATCAGTGCCATAGGCATTTCCATACGGTAAAAACGTCATCCAGTATTAATACATTAACCACGAAGTAGCGGTGTAAGATATATATATATCCACTACCCCATATATTCTGTTGTGAGTATAGTAAGAGGCGATAAAAGGTACTGAAGCAGGAGATGGGCAGCAGCATATTCCTGATAGCAACTCAAAATTATATAAAAGTGCGGTCGCCAAGCCTCCTGCCAAGAAATCATTATTGTTTGAAGTGTTTGCAAGCAATAATGATTTCTTATATTATTTACGCGAATGCTACGTATCGACGTTTCGTCATCGAGGAACGTCGGGTATTTAAAAAGTTCAAATTAAACGCGATAAAAGCTGTAAAATGAGTATGTTCCACTGCAAACAAATGGCAAAGTCCCTCACATGAGGCAATCTATGGGGGAGGCTTATGTGCAGCAGTGAGCTTTTAAAAGCTGAATTGGATAAACGAATTGTTTGAGTACATATTTATGTTATCTGTTTAATTTTTAATCTTATTTTCATGTTCTCGGTTAGGCTATGGATTGCATCAGCTGCCAGGGACCGATCAAATTACCAATGGAGATTAGTTTCTAACGCAATTGGCCAGTGCTCTTTTGCCGATCTTCGTTAAATTGATTTTTGCTGAGGTAAGAAATTGTCTTATACCTATGTTAGTTTTTAAATAACATTCTGCATTCATATTCACTTAACCGAGTTATGTGGTAAATCCTTCACAGTACGGTACTACACGTCTTTGAAACTGATGACATCAGAAAAGTATTTTATAACGATCCTTTTAAAAAGCTATTTCGTGATCATCGATTAAAAACCACACTTGTTACACGATTCATCCATGTCATATGTATTGTTAAAGAGACGTTTATGACCATTCATAGTTATTTGTATGTAATTAAATATTTTATGTTCAAATATTCCAATATTATACTCTAATTTATTTATGGCTAACGATTATATCATACGCGGCTTTAGGGTGGCCCAAAGATCAACGCAGCCGCTGCTTATCGTTCTGTCGCTGATATTACAAGATTGTTGTAATGTTTTGTTATACGCAAATAGCCTAATATTTAAATTTTACTAATAAATAAACTATACGAATAGGTTATATTCGTATAGTTTATTTATTAGTAAAATGTATATATTACGTAGTTAATTATCAATTTTATTTTGTTCCATTTTATAGTGCTACACCTACGTCAAATTCTCACCACTCGATTGGTTGATTGCTAGATAATGCCTCAACGCATTAAATCCGCCCTTTGTATTCTTTTGTTTTAAGGAACGTAATAAGGAATAAATAAATAAATACATAACGTTGCTTAAATTTAGTTACAAATATAAAATGTTTTTATTTAAACAGGTATGTCGATGGAGGAGCTATACTAAACCTCAGGATACACACCTAGGCTCCAACGTTATGGATTCCATAATGATGTTGTTCGAACGAATTGAGAAACAGGTATATTTCGTTGAGAATTTTCTGTCGCTCGTAAAATTAACCATTATCACACAATTGCTGTTCTTGTTTTGTGAATGTACCGCAGATAATGATTCCGTCATAGTACAGTCCAATCTGTTGAGAATACAGTTCCATTAGAAACTTCATCCTGTACATTATTCATTCCTGTATATTATTTACTACCAGTTATACCTTATTATTTAAAACTTTATTAGTTAATTCACTTAGTACTGACACGAGGAAGACGACTATCCAAAACAAGGAATATTTATTACCCCGATAACATGAGACCAGGCTGTTTGTGTCAAAGGTTTTCTTTATAGGATAACAGTGACAAACTGGCACACAGTCTACCTGATGGTAAGTGGATGCTGTAGCCCATAAACATCTAGACGTATCCTCGATTAGGAATCAAAATGCAGATGCTTTGTGTCGCTCTATGTTGGACTAATATGGATTACCTCGTTTCCAATAAAAATGGTTTCTGTTCACTACACTTACCGTACAAAACACAGTAGCATCAAGCTGCTATTTTACGCTTGTATTCTGTAAAATCGCGGCCCATGGACCACGCAACAAAAACAACCATAATATAGCGTAGCTTTACCACGATAAACTTAAAGTTGTGTGCCAGAGATAAATTTAGAATTTTTCCAGAATAAAATATGACCAAATCCATACTAATAACAAGGTTCTTCCAGCACGGCCAACTTTTAGACGATAAAGTCCTTGATGACGGTTATCAATACCACTTGCCACCCATCAGAAGGATTCCACGTGGACAAGGTATTTAGTTGTTTTATATTATCAGTTTAAGTCAAATCAATATTTCAATCTTTTTCTTTTATCTCTCTGCAATCTAACGTTACAATCTAACAAATGTCCACTGCTGAACACAGGTCTCATAGAATACTATAATACACAATAAAATGGCTGTTAAACTTATTTTGTACGAGATTCGGCGTCGCCCGGAGCACTCATACAAGCAATTACGTAGTATTTATCACAAGTACAAACCCCATTCGCTGTTGTGACAGACTGAGTAAATTTATATATTTTAGACTTTTGATAAATGTTCAAAATCATCATAAAAAAAGGACGTGTGGCACTCGGGGACTGCCGCGGTAAAGCTATTGCATAGCATTTTGTATCAACTTATGCAATTATAATTATTTATTTATTTTATTTATGCAGTATTTCTTTTTCTTTGATATTAATTCAAGTTACACTTTTTGAGCGTGGTGACCGATAATAAAACAAATTTTTTTCTTTTATTAAATAAATAAATAATAAATGCACTTTGTTTATTAATATTCAAAACACTTTATACACAAATTTTACAAGTACAGCTATTCACTGTTGTACATAAATACCTATACACCTATATACTTTCTCATCATCAAACAGCTGCTTATGTATTCGTCCGATTTCGGAGCAGCTCGTCTCGATTCGTGCGAGCTTTGTAGAGTCGTACAATACGTCTAGTTGCACGCACACAAACACCGTGTCGAAGACTGCCGAAAAGAAACGACGTTAGACAATGCACGGCCTTCAAGCCACACCTCCATGCCCGTCGGAGTGGGGAGCGTGAGGTTTTTTCGTTACGGAATTTCTGGATTCGGTCCCCGCGCTCAAGGCCCGCAATCGAAGCTATGCGATAGCTTAAAAATTGTTTAAATTTTAAAACATATTTATATATAAATAGTGTGCAATTTGGTATTTTCTAAATAATTTTCATGCGAAATTTGGAAACGATTGTTACGTGAAAACACATATCGTGTTGACATTTATACGTGTGAATAGACATGTTAGTGACATTTTGTGGCTACACGGGCTCCGCCCAATCCCCCGTTCTATTGTGTATATATTATAGTATTCTATGATAGGTCTCCCATAGATTGCCTCATATGGGAATATTTAGGGTTGTTGCTACACTTGGCTGGTGGGTTTCGAACTCACAGTTTTCTTTTTAATTTTTAGATGTTATTTGGAAGACGCTAATCCCTGAACCGCCACTACACGGTCAAACAAAAAAAATCTCTGTCAATATTCTCTTAACTCTCAACAATTTACAAGCGCGCATGCTTACTTACTAATATAACTTACTTTGTACCTTATAATTAACCTATAGTTACATCTCATTTCTATAACGAGAGAGGCGCCTTTTTAGCGTAAATATTGGAATTAATCAAATTGGCATACTTCTCAGTACCCAATTCATATTCACAATCCATCCAAGTTTTCTTGTTGCATTACAGTAGTTGTTTTTGGACTGGAGTTCGTTAATATACTAAAAATATACTTTAGATCTACTGTATATATAGTTGGCCCGGCAGACGTTGTTCTGATTTTGCGCGATTAGCTTTGTTCCAAATTCACTTTGGACATATTTTTAGTGTTAAGTAATATAACATTTATTAACATAATGATTTCTTATATTTACGCGAACACTACACATGATTAAAACTACTTTTACGGATTTTATCGCGTTTATTTTTACATTTTATTTTTAATTCCCGACGTTTCGGGCGCTTTCCAGCACCCATGGTCACGGGGGACTGAGATGACTGACGTCCCGATGTCATTGTTAAACCCGGAGTACCTTCAGCTTTTTTAAATATTGTTTATGGTCCGATCTATGCAAAATGAACTGACTATGGCCTGAGGTCTTGCAGTGGTATGCTTGGGTTTAGTTTTAATTTTATTGATTATAGGATCCCAAGCAGGTGGTAGTACCCAGCCTCCTTCTCTATTGAAATTAGGATGTTTTTTAATTTCAATAGCCTCACGTATCATCCTTGGTAGAAATCGGTGTTCTTTCGCGAGGATTTGTGGTCTATCAAATCTGATGTAATGGTTGGGGCCGTTTTAATCAAGAAATTAACAGATGTATCGGATCGGTAAAATTAACCTTAATGATGTGTCATCAGTCAGTCAGACACCAGTGTGTTACGCAAGCACTTTTCTCTTTAAATTTAGTTTCAAAAGGCCACTCACGAGGCTAAATTTCATTACAGTATTTACTCTTGTATGTATATAAAACAAAATTATTGTATAATTATTTGCAATAACTTCAAACACAGAAGCCGTGAACCGTCACTCTGAAGACAAAGACGGAATGCGTCACAATGGGTAATAAAACAAGCACTGCTGGACAAGTTGGTTGAGGATTATAGACGTCTACATCTGATTGCGACTGAAAATTAAACTCATGAGGATAAGATGGAATATCTACTTACTAGTAAACAGTGTCTCCGGTTCCCTTTACTAACTATATGAAACACACTGCATTACGCTGCCTATGCCGGTATTCAGTAAGAGCGTATTTAATTATTTGTACAGCTACAATGTAGTTCTACTATGTGAGGTCAGTGTCAGAAGCATATTTAGAACAAAAGGAAGTTAGGATTGGATTAGAATGCTATGAATCGCCATAAGTCATGTGATCGTCTACCAGTGTAAGAGACAAGGGGTCATTTAAGAATGTTAGTTTTGAGTAAATGTTGTGAGATATAAACAAGGATCCGCAACGAAGTAACCGTAGCTGGTTACTGAACATATTGTCAGGCGGTCATCTAACGGATTAAATATATAAGCGTGAAATGGTCACGTCTGAAACCATTATCCTACACGAGCATTCTTGCAAAGTAAAGTTACAGCCTATGTATGTCCAACTGCTGAGGCCTTCTCTCATTTCGTTGCTCAAGTGCATGTTGGCGGTCTTTGCATGTCAAACACGTAAAAATGTATACATGCATACACGTTGCTTGTAAAAGATGCAGGATTTCTCACAATTTTTTATTTCACTGTCAGGTAGGATTAGAACGCTATGAATCGCCATAGGTCATGTTATTTTCCAACAGTATTAGAGAGTTCGCTGCTCAAGTTTTGTCGTATCCCCTCAGTTTCAAGACACTCCCCTTGTTGCCTCAGCCAGTATCGGAATCCTCGGCGTCGACATATCGAGTGACGTGCAGTTTCGTGGTCACTTGGAAGGGAAGGCCAAATTGGCCTCTAAAAAGCTTGGCGTGCTCAGCAGAGCGGGACAGTATTTCATGCCGGCACACCGCCTGCAACTTTACAAGGCGCAGGTTCGGCCGCACATGGAATACTGTTCCCATCTCTGGGCTGGGGCTCCCCAGTACCAGCTTCTT